CATCAAAAGACTACCAACCAAGAAAAGCCCTGGACCGGATGGGTATACAGCGGAGTTTTATAAAACCTTCAAAGAAGAATTAATACCAATACTTTTCAAGCTATTTCAAGAAATAGAAAAAGAAGGAGTTCTTCCAAATTCATTCTATGAGGCCAATATCACCCTGATCCCGAAACCAGACAAAGACACTTCAAAGAAAGAAAACTACAGACCAATAACTCTAATGAACTTACATGCAAAAATTCTCAATAAAATCCTGGCGAATCGAATACAAAAGCATATCAAAAAAATTGTGCACCATGATCAAGTAGGATTCATCCCTGGGATGCAAGGCTGGTTCAATATACGGAAATCAATAAATGTTATTCACCACATCAATAGACTTAAAGATAAGAACCATATGATCATCTCGATAGATGCAGAAAAAGCATTCAACAAAGTACAGCATCCCTTTATGTTCAAAACACTAGAAAAACTAGGGATAACAGGAACTTACCTCAACATTGTAAAAGCTATATATGCTAAGCCTCAGGCTAGCATCATTCTAAATGGAGAAAAACTGAAGGCATTCCCTCTAAAATCTGGAACAAGACAGGGATGCCCTCTCTCACCACTTCTGTTCAACGTAGTTCTCGAAACACTGGCCAGAGAAATTAGACAGACAAAAGAAATTAAAGGCATAAAAATAGGAAGAGAAGAACTTAAATTATCACTATTTGCAGATGATATGATAATATATCTAACAGACCCAAAAGGGTCTACAAAGAAACTGCTAGAGTTAATAAATGAATTCAGCAAAGTGGCAGGATATAAAATCAACACGCATAAATCAAAGGCATTCCTGTATATCAGCAACAAAACTTCTGAAATGGAAATGAGGAAAACCACTCCATTCACAATATCCTCAAAAAAAATAAAATACTTGGGAATCAACCTAACAAAAAAGGTGAAAGATTTATACAATGAAAACTACAGAACCCTAAAGACAGAGATAGAAGAAGATCTTAGAAGATGGAAAAATGTACCCTGTTCATGGATAGGCAGAACTAACATCATCAAAATGGCGATATTACCCAAAGTTCTCTACAGGTTTAATGCAATGCCAATCAAAATCCCAATGGCATTTCTTGTAGAAATAGATAAAGCAATCATGAAATTCATATGGAAAAACAAAAGACCCAGAATAGCAAAAGCAATTCTAAGCAGGAAGTGTGAATCTGGTGGTATAGTGATACCAGATTTCAAACTGTACTACAGAGCAATAGTAATAAAAACAGCATGGTACTGGTACCAAAACAGGCAGGTGGACCAATGGTACAGAATAGAGGACACAGAGACCAATCCACAAAATTACAACTTTCTTATATTTGATAAAGGGGCTAAAAGCATGCAATGGAGGAAGGATAGCATCTTCAACAAATGGTGCTGGGAAAACTGGAAATCCATATGCAACAAAATGAAGCTGAACCCCTTTCTCTCGCCATGCACAAAAGTTAACTCAAAATGGATCAAAGAGCTTGATATCAAATCAGAGACTCTGCGCCTGATAGAAGAAAAAGTTGGCTCCGATCTACATATTGTGGGGTCGGGCTCCAAATTCCTTAATAGGACGCCCATAGCCCAAGAGTTAATGACAAGAATATACAAATGGGACTTACTTAAACTAAAAAGTTTTTTCTCAGCAAGAGAAACAATAAGAGAAGTAAATAGGGAGCCAACATCCGGGGAACAAATCTTTACTCCTCACACTTCAGATAGAGCCCTAATTTCCAGAATATACAAAGAACTCAAAAAATTAAAAAATAAGATAACAAATAACCCAATCAACAAATGGGCCAAGGACCTGAACAGACACTTCTCAGAGGACATACAATCAATCAATAAGTACATGAAAAAATGCTCACCATCTCTAGCAGTCAGAGAAATGCAAATCAAAACCACCCTAAGATACCATCTCACTCCAGTAAGATTGGCAGCCATTATGAAGTCAAACAACAATAAGTGCTGGCGAGCATGTGGGGAAAAGGGTACACTTGTACATTGCTGGTGGGACTGCAAATTGGTGTGGCCAATATGGAAAGCAGTATGGAGATTCCTGGGAAAGCTGGGAATGGAACCACCATTTGACCCAGCTATCGCCCTTCTCGGACTATTCCCTGAGGACCTTAAAAGAGCGTACTATAGGGATACTGCCACATCAATGATCATAGCAGCACAATTCACAATAGCTAGACTGTGGAACCAACCTAGATGCCCTTCAATAGATGAATGGATTAAAAAAATGTGGCATTTATACACAATGGAGTATTACGCAGCACTAAAAAATGACAAAATCATGGAATTTGCAGGGAAATGGATGGCATTAGAGCAGATTATGCTAAGTGAAGCTAGCCAATCCTTAAAAAACAAATGCCAAATGTCTTCTTTGATATAAGGAGAGCAACTAAGAACAGAACAGGTAGGAAGAGCATGAGGAAAAGATCAACATTAAACAGAGACGAGTGGTGGGAGGGAAAGGGAGAGAGAAGGGAAATTGTATGGAAATGGAAGGAGACCCTCATTGTTACACAAAATTACATATAAGAGTTTGTGAGGGGAAAGGGGAAAAAAAAAACAAGGGAGAGAATTGAATAACAGGAGATGGGGTAGAGAGGGAAGATGGGAGGGGAGGGGAGGGGGGATAGTAGGGGATAGGAAAGGTAGCAGAATACAACAGTCACTAATATGGCATTATGTAAAAATGTGGATGTGTAACCAATGTGATTCTGCAATTTGTATTTGGGGTAAAAATGGGAGTTCATAACCCACTTGAATCAAATGTATGAAAGATGATATGTCATGAGCTTTGTAATGTTTTGAACAGCAAATTAAAAAAAAAAAAAGTATCCCTAAACTGAAATAGGAAATAAAATTTTCTATTCTTACCTTTGATGATCTCCATTCCCAACCATCACCTATCTGTTGTGAATGTTTAATGAATTCTGAACAATGATGCTGGAATGTTTTTTCTCCAAAAAATTCATCTTCTTCCATTTTAAATGATAGCTGCAATATAAAAACTCAGTATTGGCAACAGCTTGAGAACAAATACTGAAAGAAATTCTGTTAATTGGTTTATTTCTTTAAACAAAGTTTGAGCTATACAATAATACAGAAAATAACCTCATGGCCATTCCAAAAAATGGTCTGTTTCCATCTTTCACACCCTGTTCTCATTTCCTTTATCAGTCAACAAGAAAACTCAAAACCTAGATTTGTAACAAATATGTATATAGAGGGGTTTTTTCCCTCTGTTTGATTTTTGGTTTGTTTAGTTTGGTTTTTGGTGTTTTGTTTTTGTTTTTGTTTTTGATTTTTTTGTTTGTTTGAGTTCTGGGATCGAGTTCAGGGCCTCATGCATGCTAAAAATGTATGCTACCACTGAACTACACTCTCAGCCCCGCATCTATGTTTTTAATAATGACAAGGGTAATGTTGAATATAGCATAAGTCCTCACTATTATATTTTACTAGAACCTATACTTAGTAAAAAGTTTATTTTGACCCAATGTGGTGAACATCCCTATAATCCCAGCCATGGGAGGGGGCAGGGTGCTGACACAGAAGGTTCACAAGTTCCAGGCCAGCCTGTGCAACTTAGGGAGATCCTATCTAAAATTAAAAAATTAAAAGGCTGGGATGTAGCTCAGTGGTTGAGTGCCTGTAAGTTCAATCACCAATACTGGGGGAAAAAAACTATTTGGACCCAGGGTCAATAATCTGTCTATAATAGCTGATTTCCAAATCAGTGTTCTGATTATTCAGATTTGGTAGGTACAGCCTATATAAGAATATATTCATTCGTCCAACAAATACACATTGAGTATATATTAAATAGTAGGCATTGTGCTTATATAATGGTTAAATATTTTTTTTAAATGAAAAAATATATATATTCCTTGAACAAAGGGAGATAAGTAAGAAAAACAATTATAGTAGAAACTTTCACTCTCTTCCTCCCCACCCTGCTCTCTTTTGGTACTGAGGATTGAACCCAGAGGCACTATATCACTGAGCTATATCCCCCAGCTCTTTTTATTTTTTATTTTGAGACAGGGTCTTGTTGTGTTGCTTAGGACCTAAGTTGCTGAGGCTGGCTTAGAACTTGTGTTCCTCCTTCCTCAGCCTTCTGAGTTGCTGAGATGACAGACATGTGTCACCATGCCCAGCTACAATAAAAACTCTCTTAACTAATCTCCATTCAACAACATACTAGATTAACTGTCACAATGTCCAGTCTCTTTCTGTAACACTAACTAATGTCTGCAGTATGCCAAACATGAAGCATCCCTGCTCCCATCATGATAGGGGTTTTGGCACAGAAGGATGGACTTCAACAATACACTAGACATCTTGCCCCTTTCAAGTGAAGAAAAGGCATTTGATATCTATAAAATTCAGAGAAGTCTTTAAAAGGAGACTGAAAATTAAGAAAGAAGTCACAAGACATTTTGATGCAGGGGCAGGTAACATGCTGTAGAGAGTAAGAGTTCGGAGAAAGGGGAACATCCAAGAAAACTAGTGTAGATTTGGAATTGCTGGTGAGGAAAATGGAAGGTCAACATTAAGTTGCTGAGGCTGGCCTGGAACCTGTGATCCTGTTGCCTCATTCTCCCAAGTCACTGAGATTTTAGGTGTGCACCACTGCGTGTGGCAAGAGGACAGCATGAAGGATGAGCAGATGGAAGTGAAGATTCAACATGGGTAGAGACCATGTATTTATAGTGCCACACTCTGAATTGTTGAGATTGTCTTCAGAGTGTTCAGCCTCCCCCTCTCCAAGTATGGGAATCAGCACAGAGAAGGTACATTATTAATAATATAAAGTTGGAGGCTGGGGATATAGTTGTATACTAAAGCACTTGCCTACTATGTGGGAAGCCCTGATTCAATCCACAGCACCACTAAAAAAAAAAGTTGTGTTTTTGCTGGGTTGATTCAATAGAAGGACAAGAGTGTAGGTGGTGAAAGGAAATGCTTGTGAGAATAGCTCAAAAATCTAGATTAGGTAGGAAAGAGGTTGAAGGGACTGAGAAAACATAGAAGAATTGGAGATGCCAAAAAAGGTCTGGGCATAGGGACGCACACCTGTAATCCCAGTGACTCAAGAAGATCTCAAGTTTGAGGCAAACCTCAAAGCAATTCAGCAAGACCCTCAACAACATAGTGAGACCCTATCTTGTAATCAAAAAATAAATAATTAAAAGAGCTGGGGATTTAGCTCAGTGGTAGAGGACACCTGGGTTCAAAAAAAAGGATATAGAAAAATTAAAGAACTTAAAATTAAAAGTAAAAGGAGAGAAATGGAAAAATGGGAAGACTATATAGATATTAGAATCTGATGGTCTCAGCTGTGAGTACCATGGGAGTGAGTACATATTGTAGTTTGGAGATGAACATGATGAGAGATCTGGAATTTTAAAGAAACATGAGGCTTGGATCCTTCTCAAGGTGACACTAAAGGTTATACCACTAAACAGAGATAGCAGGTAAGAAGAAAAACTGACCTTGCCATAACTTGTAGAACTGAATTACATGAGCCTCAAAGGAGTAGGGCCTTTTACATGAGGTTGAAGGAAGTAGTCACCAAACATTGGTATCAGGAAATTGGGGGCTATCAGCAATCTTCACATCCAGAGTCATGTGAGATGGAGAAAACAGTAGCTTCCACTTAAAGGGCTTCAGAGTTTTTTTGAAAGCCCACTTTCTTTTAAAGCTTGGGATGAAGCTCAGTGGTAGAGCACTTGCCTGGCCCTGGATTCAATTACTAGCATTACAAAACACACTTAATACAATCTAGTTTGTAGAGGCACTAATAAAGATATTACTATTATTTGAGATTTATATATGAAAACCAATCCACATTGTATGAACCATCCCCCAAGCTGGAGATACACAAGGCATAGTGTGGTATGGGAACCATTAGCTAAATGTTTCTCTTTTGACCACAGAATTCAGTTTCCTAGAAACACTTTTTAACATACACCACAGAATATGTAGTAGGTGGGCTGAGTTAAGATAAATTTCTTTACTATGAATATGTGCTTCTGGGAGAGTGGGAGAACAGGCTGGGAAGAGAAAGCACCAACGCAGGAGGGTAATACAGAAGACACAATTGCAGGGACTCCCACTGAGGCATTCATCAAAATTCCTAAATGTAAGTGAAATCTCCAGGTTACACACAGAATTCTGGTTTTAAAGTTGTCAAAATTCAATGCAGACAAAAGTTGAGAAAGTGACATCACAAAAATACTTTAAAAAAAAAAAAAGCAGTTAACCAAACAAAAGTGGGGAGATGATGGGAACAGAATGTGTGAAAGACTGCATAAAGAGAAAGTTTTTTTAATTGAGGAACTCTTGTTTGAAATTTAGAGGTGGAGAGAGGGTATTGGGAAAACTTGTGTTGATAAAGACCAGGGTCCCTAGCCTGAGGGCTCATAGGAGTTTTGAAAGTGGAAGTACACTAATCAGATTTGCATTCTGACTTCCAGTGATTCTGCAGTCTTGCCTGAAGCAATGAAACAGGTGAAAGTCTTTTATGGTAATCCAAGAGACAATGTGATGCTAAATAAAGCCAAAGATTACTTGGTAGAGCAGAAGAGGAGGGAAGAATTCAGAAAACACTGGTACCAGGAAAAAAAAAAAAAAATATATATATATATATATCCTCTATCTTCACTTGTTTTTGGTACTGGGGAATTGAACCCAGAGGCACTTTACCACTGACCACATCCCCAGCCCTTTTTATTTTGAGTCAGGGTTTCACTAAGTTGTTTAGAGCCTTGCTTAGTTACTAACACTGGCCTAGAACTTGTGATCCTCCTGATTCAGCTTCTGGAGTTGCTGGGATTATAGGATGCATCACCCAGGCATGGCTTCAATTGTCCTTAATTGACTTAAAACTCAATAATTTGGGGAGATCACACAGCTGGGCAATATATTATTACTCCATCACTAGTTTTGCTGTAGATTACGCCCAACCATTGACTAGGTTTTTCTTTGGGGACCTGAAGTCAGTGCTGAAAACACTAACTCTTCATTTAGGCCTACAGATATCTGATGGGGGACTGGAAAGGAATGAAAAGACTTGGCATCCCTGTCTTCATATTGGGTCTGTCTCCTTTGTTGCCTTAATCTTTGGGTCAGATTCTACTCAGCTCTGCATGTAGACATGTTAATCATCTGAGAAATGTTTGTCCTAAACAGTAGTACAGGGCTATCTTGACCTAGACTTGTGTAGTCTCCCTCCCCCACGCCACTCTTCCTCGAAGGCACCTACCAGCCACCATAACTGGAAACACCAGACTATAAAAGGAATGACAAAAGGTGGCACTCAAGTTCCTGGAAGATTGCCATTGATTCCCAGAAAAGACATGAATATTCCTCCCCTTTATTAGCTTATCCCTCTCCCTCATTATTCCTATCCAGTATCTGTAGCCTTTCCGCCCACTGAAATTGAGAAGCTGATTTGTAAGCAAAGCTCCCTCTTCTCCATTCTTCAGCCACTGAATAAATCCTTTCTCCCTAACACTCCTCTCTGACATTGGTTTCTCAGTGAGATGAGACTCTAAACCTGGGTTTCATAACTTTTTTTTTTTCTTTTTGGTACCAGGGATTTTACCCTGGGGTTCCTTACCACTCAACTTTATCCCCAGTCTTTTTTATTTTTTTTTATTTTGAGACAAGTTACCAAGAGTGGCCTCAAACTTACTATTCTCCTGCCTCAGGTTTCCAAGTCTCTACGATTACAGGTGTGTACCACTGTGCCTGGCATCAGTATCATTTTGATAATATACTCATTACTGCTGACAAGCTTTGGTATGTGAGGGAGAAGGAAGAGAAAAGATTAAAAAATGGTTCCAAGTTTCTTGCTGTATGTGGTGGTGTACTGACTACAACAGAAATCCCTAGAGGAAGAACAAGTTTTAGAGAGGTAGGATTCGTTTAGCCAAAAATGAATTGGAGTTTGAAATGTCTGTGGGATGTGCAAGTAAAGGAGTCTAGCA